CATTGATTGTGTTGTATAAGCAAATATCAGAAATTATGTAATTTATTCTTCGCTAGAGGACTCATTTATCCCTGGTGATTGCCATGGTAACAATAGTTTAGTTATATCTAAAAGTGAACTTGTGTGGATCTGAAAATTCCCGACTTAATTATTGTAGGTAATTTAAATTAAGAAATAGGGAGAAAAAGTATTTTGAAACATAAAAACTATTGTGAATGAGAGTTAATATGAAATTATGAATAATAACAGATGAATATATTAGTAAACGTTTCCGTAGAAGGATGTATTATTTTCGAATAAATCATTAAATTCATCAAATAATAAAAGTTGTTTATATGTAGCATCAGATTTAATATTTAGTAACCCAGTAATTTTTCCCACAGAGTGCATGTATGTCTTTCGAGAATAAACAGCGATTAATTTCTAACAAAACTTAAACCGCTAGTTCTTTGTCAAACAGCTGCTTCGTTTCATTTCAGGCACGGACTAAGTACATAAATATCATGAAATAAACGGCTCAGTCGAATTCACAGCCATGCTTTTGACTCCTGAAATGACGTGTTGAAATCTGGGTTAGCAGATCTGAAAATGTAACGGACGGTTTTCCTCAGACTTTCCGAGCAAATACCAGGATAATATTTTATAAATTAGACCACGAACGCCACCGTCTGCAGCATCGCCTGTTCATTGCTTATTTATCATCCAGTCATTCCTATTTAGTAAAAGATACCCTGAGAGTGAACTGAGACACACCCCTGACCTTTAGACACATGCAACTAGGTAAATATTTCCAACATATTACCTCTAGTAAAATTAATTCGTAGTAGCACTGCATGGCGGTGAGTAGCGACAAGTGTGGTCAATGATGCATCAGCTGACTTCATATTCAACAGGTATTCCAGCTGTTGCATGTAGATTAAACCTGCAGAGGTGATTTCAACTCAATATTTGGCCTCAAAATTGAATAAAACAAAATAATACAGCAGGTGATAAAGAAATAGAAGAATATAAATCGAAACAAATCACAAAAAAGAACTAAAGTAATTGTAATTCGCGTCTTTTCCTAGTTTATCTATTATTAGATGTACTGCTTATTTAATGTAGATAAACTACGAAGATTTGAATGACGAGTTAAGAAAATGTGAAAATGGCTGTCTTCTAGATTCTTGCGCCGGGTAGACTGGTATAAGTTTACCGACGTTTCAGAAGTATTTTCTGCCTCCATAATCGGTGAGATCATTGGCCTGATCAAGGTAACATGTAATGGACCTATTTTGAAGATATACGTAAAAATACTTGGCGGAATTGACATTCATCTTTTTGACATCATAAGGCAGACCTGTAAAGTAAGCCATATTAATTGTAGACTATATTTGATGACTTAAAACGACGTGAGGTAGTTTTAATGAATTGTCTGATAGGTAACGATGGTGTAGATATTCTACGAAACTTTTTTTAAAAAAAATGTGTGTCTTAATTTCCAAACTCGTAACAACAACCGAATAGAAATTTAAAAAAAGAAGTAATCAGCTAAGCAGCATCACAATTTATCCAGGTCTCCATTATTCTTACTTGCACTGTACAAGATATTAATAAAATTGCAGTGCATCATGTATTGTGGCAGCTTCCACTTCTGTCATGCTGTGAAATGACTTCGTCCGTGGACTTTAATTTATGTACATCGTACATAAGATTCGAGACCCTCATAGAAGTGAGAATGTTGATGCTGGTCTTCTATATATTGCATTTGGCTAAGAAACCCGTATGTAGAGACGAAGGCACAATCAAAATGTATTTAATTTTTAAATAGGTAGTGCATATAAGTACCAGTAGGCTTTCAATTGTACCATTAAGTGTTGTAAAAGGTGCGCCATTGACTAACGTTGATGAGCTTTTGTTTGCCAAGTAGGCCTACTATCTAATTTTAAAACAGACTAAATTTAAATCGCCCCATTCTAGATCGAAATAATCGTGAACACATGCTGCGAGGGCTTGAACTTTTGTGTTGACTCCGTCCGTACATTTAGGTTTATAATGCGCGCAGTTTCTCAAAGACATTCCGCTGTGCCGAAAACTCAGGGTTGTACTGAAAATCAGAGACACATTTTAATCTACGAACTACAGATTGGTTGACTTTATTTAAAACTGCTTTTCCAGACTTTTTCCATAGTCTAAATTACAAACCACAGCCTTTCGAAGGCTGGATTCTGCTTCAGTGTTGTGGTAAAAAGGGGGCATGAAAGAGGCAGAATGAACCTCTGAAACTTCAGTAAACTTCTACCTGACTACACGGCGATACAAGCGAAAAGACATTCATAATCATAATTTGGTGTTCTTACTTGAAGTGTATGAGTAAATTCAGTGGCTGTTCAAAAGGATTCTTTGGTAAGATTTGAGGTCATAAAATGTCAGAAACTGCGAGTGTGTCTGTCAGAATGAGAAAGTACCTGTAATACTCTTGCAGCACTTCTAAAATGTGTACACACGAACAAATCGCAGTTGGATCAGTAATTTAACAAATAAAACTTATTTAGTACTTCGAGTTTCATTAAAAACTGGAAGTTTCTAGACCAATTGTTTTACTTACATGAAGACCATAGAAATATTAGTACTTTCAGACATCCCTTGGTATAAACGATAAATACAAAACCCTGCATAATTAATTTTTTTAACAGTTTAAAAAAGTACAAGGATCTATCTCCTCGTTAGACATTGTGAATGTGTTAACGAAAGATATCTATTATCTGGTTATTGTCTCAGTGAATTAACAATAGAGTCTTTAGGATTTTATTCTCTAGAGCATATTACGTATTCTCTGCTTGGCATTGCATCGAAGAACACGAGAAGGCACTTACTGCGTTTCTGTTTGACCTAACTGAAAAATAAATGTCTGGAACAATAAAATATCGCAAAGAACGCGACGGCATAGGAAAGAGTTTCAGAGAGGTACGTACACATTCATGTCTACTGTATCAACGCTCAGAAGTACGAGGCGCGTCCACAAAGTAAGTTTCCCACTCGTCCCACAGCTAGCAAACCTTATATTGCGCGAAGCGACTGTGCGTACGTGATAGAGCAATGACGTAGCATGGCGCATGCACTAACGGCACTTCCCGCGTTCTCACAGTAGCATCGTTGCAGCTGTTGAAGATGGAGGTTCTTATTCCAGCCCCCGCCGACTGTGAAGTGCGGTCAGGGATAACGCTAGGCCGCACACGGCTCAACGGACAGCGAGTCTCCTGCAGGAGTTCAGCTGGGAGGTGTTTAATCATTCACCCTACAGCCCGGACCTCGCTCCCAGTGATTTCCATCTTTTCCTACACCTCAAGAAATTCCTGTCCGGTCAGCGTCAGCGTTTTGAGAATGACAGAGAGGCGGAGATGGTTGTCACACAGTGGTTCCAATCCCAGGCGGCAGACTTCTACGACACAGGTATTCAAAAGTTGGTCCCACGGTATGACAAATGTCTCAATTCCGGTGGCGAATATGTTGAAAAATAGCTGGACACTTGCTGTATCTGTTGCAATAAATATTTCCATGAAATTGTGTTTTGTTTCTGTAAACGGCCCCAGGGAAACTTACTTTGTGGACGAGCCTCGTATATAACATTTGGGCGAATGAAACGCAAGTAACTGTAAATTATGGAACGTTTGGACTTTCAGCGAAGAAACAAGCAAAGTAACATCACATGGAAGAAATGAGACCATGATGTTAGTTAACTCCAGTGATTTTCTTACGTATCGCATGGAACAATAGAAACTTTTCACTAGAGAGACCCTGTGTGACGTGTCTTTATACTATGGATAACCCTGTGCATGGATGAGGGTTCACGACAGTTGTTTTATTATAGAATTCCTACAAAACGAATTTAGCATTTGGCTATTTCATATGATTTATTTTTGATTTCCTGACACCTGGCTCTTCAAAAATTCTATACGGAAGGGTCATTCGGCAAAACCAGCGTTACGAAGATATGTAAAATCCATACCAACAATTTGTAAATATGGACCGACAATGGTCAGCTTTTATATGAACTCCTGCGTACATAACAATGCATGAAAGTGGGCGTACAGATCGGCATTTCATAATGTTCAAATGTTGTTCGTGGACGAAGTAAGCATGATTGGTGCTGATATTTTACACATCATAAATTTGAGATTACATGAAATATGCAATGACTATGATAAACTGTTTGGGGGAATGAATGTGGTATTTTGTGTAGATCTTCGACAAATACCACCTGTAAATGCGAAAGCCATATAAAATCCTCACAAGCATTCCTTGGCTGGTGGTAATCTGTGGCAACCGCTGTCGTTTTTGACGTAAATACGTCTATACGGAAGGGTCATTCGGCAAAAGCAGCGTTATGAAGATGTGTAAGATCCAGCGCCGGTAAGAGTATATTTATTGTAATTTTAATGAACCAATGTGAACAATTTTCAATGCATCTGGCGCATTAAGCGCCTCGCCTCTCGAAAACCGTAAGACATGGATCGGACATGTTGCGTATGAAATACGTATTACCTCTTGAGATTTCCATATCTGTTTTCAGATTTTACATATCTCAAATGGTTTAGGTTCTACAAACATTTATTTTTTTATATAGTGTTGATGTCGAATCCGCAATGTTGTAATATTACTAGATTAAAATCTTGTTTAGATATGGTGTTTGCACGAAATGTTGATACAGTGTACAAATTTTATAACATATTTCAGCTACCACAGACCCATCTTAAGCGTAGCTAATTCAAGTTAAATAAGCAATGTCTTAATGAAACTATTTACTCAATTGTTAAGCATATATAAAGGCAATATTTAGCGTCAAGCTAATATATAAACTGCCTTTGATTGTATTTATTGACTAAATATAATTTAATTACAAAGACGTATTTATGTCAGATTCACCGGAACCATGTTTCCACTGTCAATTTTTATGTGGATATGTAGCGAAAAAATATAATTTACTGATACATTGTTAGAGACTGTTTACTGGTCTCGCCTAGGAAAAGATATACAAGAGAAAAGTACTGAAACAGAACATAAGTGCGCAGAAAACATCTGGTATATTTTACTAAGTAAGGTGAGTATCAAATTAAATTAATTAATATAAATAATTGATAAAATATAATCTTCAATAAGGTAAGTGGAATAACCCATGAAGCCGAAACTCATCTAAATAGTAGTTACGGAAAAATAAAAAAGTTACGCAAATTTCATTGGATAGGCATCACGTATGTGTACTTGTATGAAAAAATAAATAAAGCTGTCCCACCATGAGCAATGTAGGCGCTTGGGTCGAAAAGAACGATACAGCTCGTCCTCATTCTTAACCTTTTTCACTAAATGGGATTGAGTGGTCAGCATCACGCCCCTGCCTTGCTTTACCCTCGCGAAAGCACCACGGTACCCATTAGATAGGCGACTGGGTAGGCCCCAGAGACGGTCTGGACGCTGAGTCTTCAGGAAAAATCCTCTGCCCTCGTCGGGTACAAACCCCGGTCTTCCAGTATATAGCCAGTCACTATAATGACTTGTACTTGTATGAGTGTGTGGAATTAAGCGTCTATATATATCTCTAAATATTTCACAGTGATTATGAAGGGGGGGGATTATATTACTTAAGCTAAAACTGAACATGTGATATATAAGATGTGTTATAAATAAGCGTTAGAAGAGAAAGGTTTAAATAAAATGTCAAATTATTTAACGTATTAACATGTACAGGAAACTTACTATAATATGTTATTACAACGGGATGCAAAAACGTTTAAAAATTGCTGGTATGTACTTAATTAAATTTAAAAAAAGTATTTTCCGTTATTAGTTAATTATCACAAATTTAACCAACCTCGATAATAGAAAGTCAACTGTAATTATAGCCTATACATGAAAACAAAATTTAATTAGCTTACGATCCACAACATTTCAATGCAACTACAGCAGAGCGCTCCTTTCGGAGCTCCTCGGGGGGGTTGGTCAAGTTTTTAAAATGCAACCAACCCCCCTTCGGGGTGTTTGGTCAAGATTTTAAAACGCAACCAACCCACCTTCGGGCGAGTTGGCTGCGTTTTAAAATCTTGAATAAGAAACTAATTCGGGGTGTTTGGTCAAGATTTTAAAACGCAACCAACCCACCTTCGGGCGAGTTGGCTGCGTTTTAAAATCTTGAATAAGAAACTAAACCAACCCCCCCGAATTGGGATGTTAAACACTTGACCAACACCCCATTCGGGGGGTTGGTTAAGTTTTTAAAACGCAACCAACACCCCCTTCGGGGGAGCTGGTTGCGTTTTAAAATCTTGAGTATGAAACTAAATCAAAAAGTTATTCACCAAGAATAGAAGAGAAAAAAACGAAGATATTTTAGGGTTGGGTCGGACGTAGAAAGTTAGCTGACCATGTCTCACCGTGACCAAATCATCGTCTGCTTTTTTTCCCTTCTGTTCTTGTTGAATAAGTTTTTCTACGTTTATCAATGTAAGTCTTACTTCGCTTTCCTTCATTTCTAAATAGTTCTGATGTTTTAGTTCTTTACGTCGCTGTTCAGAGGCCAACTGTTCTTGGCCAGACAACTTTCTACGTCCAACCCAACTCTTACATATCCTCGTTTTTTCTCTACTGTTCTTGGTGAATATGTTTTGACGTAAATACGTCTATATGGAAGGGTCAGTGTCATTCCGCAAAAAAGTGTTACGAAAAAGCGACAGGAAAATGTGTAAGATGGTTACCTAGGAAACGTCATCTGTTTACTTGGCATTGTTGTGTTACATTACTTTCGTTATTGCGGCAAGAGCTGAGCTGTGAATCGTTTATTATAGAAGAAGTGCGTCGTGGACTACGTAATTTTGTGCTGGTAAAAACGTTATACAATATCACAAGTACTTATCTTATATAATAATTATTAAGAAATCTATTGTTGCAATAGTTTGTTGCGTCATACTATGTACAAGATGAAACACATTGAAGCTAAAAGAGTCGATAACGCAGAATATATGAGACAGTACAGAAAACGTAAAAAAATAAAAGTACCTAGGAAACGTTACATTACTTTACATTACATTCAGCTACCACAGACCCATCTTAAGCGTAACTAATTCGAGTTAAATAAGCAATGATTACATTACAATACATTACTTTACATTACATTCATCTACCACAGACCCATCTTAAGCGTAACTAATTAAAGTTAAATAAGCAAAGTCTTAATCAAACTTATCTCAAATGTAAAGCATGTATGAAGGAAATATTTAGAATAAAGCCAATATATAAACTTCCTTTCCGTATAGACGTATTTACGTCAAATTCTCCGGAACCGTGGCTCCACTGTCACTTTTTCTACGTTTATCAATGTAAGTCTCCCTTCGCTTTTCTTTATTTATTAAATAGATCTGAAGTTTTAGTTCTTTACGTCGCCAACTGTTCTTGGTCAGTCAACTTTCTACGTCCAGCCCCACCCTTGCAAATCTTCGTTTCTTTCTGTTCTTGTTGAATACGTCTTCCTGCCTTTATCAATGTAAGTCTTACCTTCACTTTTGTGATGTTTTAGGCCAACTGTCAGTCAATTTCCAAGAATGCGATGTGCTGCTTCTGGAGTAGTGATAATGCGACTGGCTTGGTAGTTGTTGATCTCGCTGTTGTGAAGCGTCATTTGTTTACTCGGCTTTGTTGTGGAACACAACAATGCCGAGTATAAACAAATACAAGATGACATCGTTGATGACGTCATTTTCTGACGACGACGACAAAACACAAATCTTTATAGTAGAAAAATTATATTTAACTCATCATTTGTACATTCCAATTGTTTAAAAACTTCGTTTTCACTAAATTGTTGCAGCGTCTTGATACATTTTTAAATTGTTAAACAGATTATTGACGTCATCAACAAAACTCCTGCAACACAGATGTGAAAAAAACCTACAAAATTATTACAGCTCACTTCGCAGCTAATGGCATGGTTCAAATATTAAGTGTACAGAATTATTTTTCGTTATGAGCCGTACAATCTCCTTTTTAACTTCTCAGATGGAGAACAACTTCACAGTTAATGCAAACAGCACCGAACTCGTCAAAACCCTGGATGCAGATGCCATATTGGGAATCGTATCGCTAATTATTGTTGTACTTGCGATTCCAATAATCATACTTACGCTGATAATTTTAATTGCGGGGCCAAAAAAGTAAGTACACTTGCATATTCCTTCAAACACTTATGATGATAAGCAGACGTTTAGAATTTCCAAAATATTATGCTAAGGAACGGAGAAAAATACGATTTTTCACATTTTACGATAAGAAAATGTCTAAATTCAAATACTGATAAAATTCGCTACATAAACAGCCAGGTCGCGTATCTATAATCTGGATTTAGCACGCAACTTGGAAACGTAGATGAACTTCTGAAGACTATACGAGCGAATGTCAACCACGGCTCAACAATATCCAATCTAAGAACGGATATATGACATTAACTTTAAGCTTCTAATGCAAATGCCTTTAATTTCAAACCAAGGTATTTGAAGCTTCGAAAATTTTCTGGTATATTATTTTAAAACTAACATTAGCAATGCGTCTATAGTGCAATTGGTTGCATGGTCACAGACAAGAGGTCACCACATTACCCACGTACTGTATTTTCCTTCATCTCTGTGATCTCAATCTGTGTTACAGGACTACTCATGAATCAGAACATAATTCGACATTGACTACGATAAGTGCAGATTCCAACACAGAAACTGCCAAAAATTCCGCCCCTAACAGTACGTCACCAACAACATTCACAAGTAAAAATGACGATTTCTATAAAGAAGGTATAGAGATATTCATTAGTTTACTTGTGTACTCAATATTCTTGACGTATATCGGAATATACCTAATAGCGTATGAGCGGAAAAAGTAAGTACACCTGGATATTCTATATCATAAGCAGACTATTTGTATTCCGAAAATATTTCGCTAAGGAACGGGAAAAATTATGATTTTTTATTTTTACGATACCAAAACTTTTAAATTTAAAAAGTAATAAAATTCGCTATATAAAATTAGGATTCAGCTCGTAACTTCGAAACGTCGCTCAACTTCTGAAGAAACACTTAATGTCAAATACGTTTGAAAAATATCCGATTCAAAATCGACTATATGATATTAATTTTGAGCCTGAATTTCAAATGCCTTTTAATGTCAATACAAGGTTATGTAACTTCAAATATTTCGGTTATATTACTTTAAAATTAACATTTTTAATATTTCCGTACTCCAATTGGTTGCCTGGACATAAGCAAGAATATTGCGAGGTAACAGGTCACCTCATCAACCACGTACAATTATTTCTTTATCTCTGTGATCTCAATCTGTGTTACAGGACTGATCTTGAATCGCCACATAATTCGACACTGAGTATGATAAGTGGAATTAATTCCACCACTAATAGTACATCACCGACACTTTTCACATGAGCAAACGAATAACTGTCATCGCCACACCACGTATCAGCAGAAACAAATATAATCCGCGCAGAAGACACCGCAGACATCTCTTCCTGTGAGGAAGACTGTTAGTCTCCGAGAAAAATGGCCACATGTTGGGACACGCAGTAAAATAGGTCCTAAATCGTACTCAAGTTCGATCTACGGGGGACCCGTTCGTCCTAGGGAACATCGGCGGCACGTTGAGCCTAAGAGGCCTCCAACCCTGTAGTCGTACTTTTAGAAGATCTTCTCTGATGGTGATGTTCACATCCCCATGTTGTCAGATAACAATGCTACAATATCTCAAGCTCATTTGTTGTCGGCTTCAAGTGGCCATCATGTGATCGAGTAGGGTCCAGTCTTCGTCAGCAACTCACGTGTGTAGTCTCAGTAGTGCACGGGAGATCTCATCTAGCTCGAGTCGGGAGTGGCGGATGCCCTGGAGGAGTGGGCTAAAGACCACTCCAATCCACGAGAGCGTGAATCACACCCAGAGTGAGCTAGATTGGATCACTGGTGCACTTGTGGGAAATTCAAATCCAGCCCAGAAGATGGTAGCAGAATTTGAAGACTCAGAATGACCATATGTGAGTTTCTTGGATATTCATCATGGCTGACCTCCTGTTATAGAAACAACTGTGCCTCATTTGGCATCATAACCCCGAGACCCTCCCAAATAGTTTGGATTGCAGCCACAATTAATAATCACATACATAAGCGGGGAATGGCCGAAACGCAGTGGAATGCAAGTGTTCTTCGAGGCATACTTTATTTCCCTGCAGTGTGTAAGCATGCATGCACTCTCAGTTACGAACACTGGAATAAAATTTACCGCATTGCACATCTCTTACTTCAAGAATGGGGGAAGGATATTTCTAATTCCGGCCTCAGAATGAGGTCAGGGTAGCCAAAATAAAATGTTCGATTCACCAAATATGGACGTTGCATCTTAGATTCTTGTGTAAAATCTTGGACAGCTTTCTTCTAACTTAAACTGAAGTTCCACGTGCTTCCCTAGTGTTGCTACTAAATAAAATATTCCCTTTATATTCGACAGAACTTTGATATAAATCAAGCTCTCGTAGTTAGCGTGTTCGCCATTGGACCCAAGGTTCGTGGGTTCAATCCCGGCCGAGGTCGATAGATATGTTTAAGGGTGATAAAAATCCGTAGTACAATTTCCTTCGGAGAAACCGTAAAGCCGGCGGTCCGATGGCGTAGATTTAGGTCATATAAAAGAACCTTGCGGGTATGATACGAGATGTTTCCTAAGCAAAATTCAGCGGCCATTTCTCACCCAAATCTCTCCTGATTCACTGCTTCACTGCTAGATGGCTCTGGCAGTCAAATCAGGATTGAGTAGAAATTGTGCACAGTCAGTGGGCTAGTCACTCACTACTCTCAAAAGCAAGCTTTAAATACTGTAACCTCCGAAAGGAGGCCCTATGCTCCACTTAGGAGTTACAGGAGCTATCCATCTATCTATCTTGAGATAAAGTTACTGGGGTCTGACATGATTTTATATAGTACGTCAGATTAATGCTGGAGTACCAATTACACAGCCTTTCAAAATCATTATTATTTGGCCATCTTTATACTATGTAATCTTTGCAGTTGTTACGTCGTCGTTAAAGAAACCAGGAGGCCAACAACTATTAATATTCTGCTTGTTCTTCTTAATGACATTTAAGAAATCAATTTAGTAGGATTTTTGAAGTTAAGTCAGAATATTGGTGTCTTCTGGGTTGCAGTGGCGTGTAGCCTGGTAAACGTCTACTGGACTAGAAGGCGCTACAACTCAGAAGACAATCATCTTAACAAATTAATCTTTTGACATTTATTCTTTATGGGATAGTTTCAGAAATGCCCAACTTTCAGCATGTCACAAGTAAAGTTTGTCCCGCTATACGCCATGTAGGCGTTTCGGGTGAGTGGAGGTATAGCTCCTCTCTTTCTTGACCTCGACACTAGATGGGGGTGAGTGGTCAGCATCACGCCCCGGCCGGCTTTATCCCCGGGAAAGGACCCCGGTACCCATTGTAGAGGAGGCTGGATGGGCCCCAGAGCCGGTCTGGACGCAAAGGCTAGAGGAAAAACCCTCTGCCCCCTTCGGGGATCGAACCCCGATCGTCCAGCCCGTAGCTAGTCACTATACTGACTGAGCTATCCCGGCTCTTAGCAGCATGTCACACAACTTTAAAAGCTGCCATGTTGTATTTAAATACTTCACAATCAGTTTGACCTTGATAGGCACGAAGGTTTTCAGCCCACATGATTAAGGTGTGACAGAACTGAAAATAATTTATCATTAGGGACGATATCAAGAATGTTTGTAAAACCACGTAAACATGTATATGACTTTTACATGACAAAAGCCCACATGAAGATTTCGCATAGAAAAACCCCACAGTCATAAATGCTCACACGGACGAATGCTCACACAGAAGAATACGCACATAGAAAGATTCTCACATTCACAATAATATCAATTAACACTCTTAATAAAGCGTTATGTGCATGGTATGAAGTGAAGTTCAAACATACTACACACACTAACCTAACCTACCCTTGGCCCCCGTTGGTCCCGTTGGCCTCGTTGGCCCTGTTGGCGTTTTCAAATATTAAATAATATTTTTGTAAACTAAAGATAATGTGATAATTATTCTAAATGTGTATTATTCCGTGTGAGCATTCGTCCGTGTGAGCATTTATCCGTGTGAGCATTTTTCGGTGAAGGTATTTTTCATGTGAGAATTTATGTGGGGTTTTCTGTTCGGAATTTTCGTGTGGGCTTTCTTCATGTGTGCATTTATCTGGTCACCTTATATGACATATGGCTCTTTTTGTTCTATTTGCCACAGTTTTACAGCAACCTGTAATTACAGAGTACAATTCAATTTCTTATGTAATAAATTGTTTTATAAGGCGCATACTTGGAACTGTCAGCAACTGAAGAGAAAAGAATGCATATCACCTTGAATTATGTCATCTTGTTTAACGCGTATCAGCGTTTCTGTACTTTGGAAAGTAAGATTATGGTATATCCTGTCTAAATTAATTTTGAATTAGTTGATATGATCCTTGAAGATGTAGACTTGATTCGTCTAGTCCAGGACAGAGATCAGTGGCGGGTCTTGTGGCCACCATAATTAACTTTCGGTTACAACAAAACAGAGGGAGATTCATGGAGTAGGTAAGTAACTGTTAGATTCTCAAGAGGACTACTATGTTGCATTTGAACTGACCAGGATACTATATTATTATAACATATCGATTATCCGATAGCAACGATGGTCTAGTGATTAGAACGCTGGCCTTGTAATCCTGGGGTCTCGGGTTCGATTCCCGGAAGTGCCCGAATTTATAACTTGTGTTGAGCAAAGCCGTGGTCTAGGCAACACGGAGTTTTCCTCCAGGGGCTTCCCCTGTTTCTCCGTGGCATCCCAACAATTACTCCATTCACACACAGAAGAAGGCAATGGCAAACCACTTCTGGATCAGCTGCCAAGAACGTATATGAACAGGTCCCAGTCCGAGAAAAGGATGGAAGGATCCTGTTCATATGGACCTGTCGTCAGACAGAACACTAAATAAATAAATAAATAAATAAATCGATTATCCAAAATTGTGAAATGGCTTCAAATCCCACGTTAGTTACAAGTGTTATCTTACATATACAAAACATTTGCAGACGTATTTGGAGAGCATGGTGACATATTACATCTGATCTAGATAGATGCTGTTAGAAAT